TCTGATTACTTTTTTCAAGTAACGAGTAAAGTAAGGGATTACTATTGCAAAAACGGTAAATAACCGTTACTTTCCCGTAGGAACGCTGCGTTACTGCGTTACTAAAACCGTGATTTTTTTTGCAAGAATGTCTCACAACGGTGACGTAAGCGAGTGCGACGTTCGTGACAACAGCTGTGTGCAGATCAACAATGGATCATATATAGAGTGCAGAGAGAGTATGAGCGTGCAGCGTTTAAAGCGTGGAAGTACTGACCTTACTTTGAGTTTGATTCCATAAAAAGTGACAAAAACATTAGTGTCCGCTGTGCGTGGGAAGAAAACTTCTTTTTACAGCGAAAAAACCCCTAAACTTCCAACAAGCACCGAGTAGCTACGACGTAATGGGAAACTCACAGAGAAACTCGCGGATTCTTCCACTGACCGCGGCACACCTGCACCAGGGTAACCCTCCGCCTACCCCACTCCTGCTTTACAGGTGAAAATAGAGCAACAGGACCGCTGAGTCTTTGACTTTATTTATTTTCTGCTGTGTTTTACTTGCATCTATTTGAAAGACTGAGTGTAAACACAAAAATATTTTATTTTATGTGCTGGAATGTGCAGAAAATAGGTTTAAATGTTAAACTAATTTCTTCCAGTCAGAGAATGTTGCAGATAATTAAATCTTTGCTTGATGCATAAAGTTAAAAGGTTAAAACTAATAAAACAAGTTTTACAAAATAAAGAAAGTAGCTATGCAAACTGCTTCTACAAAAAACAAACAAACATGGAGCTTCATGGAATGGGTTTCCATAACCAAGCAGCTACACTCAAGCCTTACATCACCAAGCGCAATACAAAGTCAGTGCTGGTAAAGCACACTGCTAATGGACTGCAACACAGTCGAGACATGTTCTCTTGATTGATGAATAATGCTTCTCTGTCCGTCTTTGGCAGTTGCCAGGAGAAGATTAGTTGTCTGACGAGTAGTGTAAACTTTAGAAGAGGGGAGGATTTGGTGTGGGGCTGTTTTTCAGAAGTTGGCTTCTGATCTTTCGTTTGAGTAAAAGGAACTCGCAATGGTTCAGCATACCAAGCCATTTTGGACAATTTCATGCTCCCAACTTTGTGGGAACATTTTGGGGATGGCGCCTTCCTGTTCCAACATAACTGCACACCAGTGGACAAAGCAAGATCCATAAAGAATGGCTAACTGAGTGTGATGAGGAAGAACCTGACTGGCCTGCACAGAGTCTTGACCCGACCGAACACCTCTGGGATGAATAAGAGCGAGGACTGAGAGCCAGGCTTTCTTGTCCCATGCGTCTGAGGTCAGCGTCTGACCTCACAGGACGATACTGTGAGGAAGGACAGTTTATTTCCCATAAACACACTCTTAAACCTTAAGCCTTTCCAGCAGAATTAAACTTGAGAACATTTTGAGAAAAACTTCAAATTTTATTTGGAGGCAATTAATTTTGTCCTCATCTGTAAATCTCATTCAAGCTTGACAAGAGAAGGACATACACTACCTATACTATGCAAGATATGTACATAGTTAAATTAAACAGTAGTTTAATTTATTATCGTGCTCTTCTATTACCAGTTTTCACTATTTACTCACTTTAGGTATTTCCCAACAGACTGGTACTTTATGCACAGACCCAAATCGCACACAGGTTTATTGATTCGCTGAGATGACGCCTCGTCATCGCCTGCCTCTTCTTATCCAGCTGCCAAATTCGCTTGAGGCTAAATGAAAGATCTCATAATGAGAAATGTCACCTTTTCTCACCCCAAGTGGGACAAAAACAATTTGCTTCAAAACATGGAAAATATTCTCAACATGGTGAGCTAAGTTTAGTATCATGGCCTTGGGCAGAAAAGACTAGTCAGACAGATTTTGCAGATGGAATCAAAATAGTGCTGGGGCACATGGGAGGCTATAAAACAGTGAGGGCACAGTCTTAAATTCTAATAAATAACTAATACCAAATGAAGGCAACAATAGTAAGCCTCATTTAAGTAACATAAGCAGCATTTATGACACCTCTAAGGATATAATGGGAAGATCTGCTGATGTTAGTCAGATGCACAATAGCAAAAATGTTAGCTCGTGAGGTAAGCAAAAGTATTACATAAGTATTATATATAAGTATTGCATGGATATGCAAATAAACTCTTAAACAGTCAATTAATTTACTGGATGTGTAAAAACAAGTGAATCAAAGATATTCATGGTTAAAAGCAGTATACAGCATTTTGCTTCAATGGATATCTAGTCTGCATACAGTTAGAGTCGCTGTTACTTTTTTTTTAAACAGATGACCAAAGATGCTATTAAATAATGTTTAAATGAATTAACATGGTTGTTTTCCTAGGAGTAAGGTTAAAACCTTTTTGCTGGGTGCCACAGTGGTTGTTTCTATGCAAAAAAAAAAAAGTGTTTGTGTTAGTCTGGAATTGCAGAGATGTTTGGACAGAATTTCTGACAGCCTCTCTTCTCAGCTTGAACAAAATACTGAAGCTCATTTTCATGTTTTACAACAGCAGAGCTGTGGTGCACTTGTACTGTCTGGTTAGTTTGTGACTGACAGTTGGCTACAAAGCACTCAGACATTTTTTTTTCTACAGTTTTACATTTAATCAAATCGCCTGAGGCCATCTAAACCTGTATACCTCATTAATATTCCTAAACAAGCTTTCAGCAACTCTAATGCTGCACACTGATAATCAAGGACATGACACACAGCTCATACGTGGGCTCTGAAAACAGAGGGACTGCCCACCACTCACAGTAATTTCAAGTAATGAAAATATTGACCATATGGTGGAAAGTGGGTGCGCTGTTATGGTAACGCATTTTAATAAAATTAATTAGTGCTGTGGACGGAAATTGCAGACATGTTTTTTTCCATGTGTTCGAAAAGATGGGACATGTAAAACCAGGGTCATTTTCTTAACCTTCTTGCTATAGGCTGCGGGGTCAAAAAAAAAAAAAAAGGAAATAAACATCAATATTTTATCCAAGCAAAGTAGAGGCTGTCAGAAATCCTGTCCAAATCTCTCTGCTACAGCAGTTTTAGACAAACACTCCTGTCTTCACAGATATTATACAAGATATGTTTTTATTTTATTTTTTATACAAGATATCTAATGTGAGACACTGGATGTCTTGTAGACATGGTTTTAACTTGTGTGCCAGTTAAATAACCCCACTGTTTAACCCTTATCAGCACAAACACAAAGGCGCACTGTCTAGAACAATATAAATGAAATGGTGCCTGGCAAAAATATAGATATCAACACATTGAATACTACTGAATTTTATTATTAGATATTTCCCTAAATTGAATGAATGGATGCAAAGTTATGACTCTTTTTAAAAAGAGGTAGCTCTAAATCCAAAAGCGGCTCCTGAAAAAAGACCTGGTTTCTGTGCTTCTGTGTGGCCTACCTAAACAGAGCACAAAACACGACACAAAGCACCATTTTTAATCTCTTTTGAAAGTACAAGATCATATTATGAACTGGCAAAGCTTAATCCGCAACTGGAAAACTAACCTACATTTGCATGCAGAACAGGCTTCTGACTTCAAAAGTAAGGTTACAGCATTTTTATTCAAGCTTGCCTCTGTTCCAAGCAGCCAGGGTCACCTTACCTAACATCCAAACATCCAACTTTAACTGAGCTGACAGATCTGAAATGTTGTGCAGACAAAAGCACATTCAGTAAAAAAAGATGACTGTTAGCTTTTTACTTCATTTGTGTATATATAAAGAAAAAGACCTCGCAAAAACAAAGTCAAATGAAATGCTCCTAGAATATACAGTCACTAAATACATACATCTTGAAATACTGTCTGTATCTGAGACTTTATAATACGAGCTAAAGCAGTGAGTGGCAGGATTTGTTAGATAAGTGTAAGGGAGTTGTAGATGTAATATTATTAGCAAATCTTGCCCTACCTTTTAAAAACCCTGATGTTTCACTTTAGGTTACGACCAAATCTTCACCTGCCTCTCCACAACCCTTCCCCAATCTTTTGTGTCTGTTTCACTTGCACATAAACAAAAAATGGTGAAGCAGAGAGCAGAGGGGAAACAAAAAAATAACATTTTTGCAATCACAATTATGTATAATTTAAAACTAACTTCATCATCTTGTTTTAGCCAGTATTCAGCAATCAGTCATTGCAAATTGTGTACTAAGTTTGTCACAATACTACAATCTAAAACTCAACCCTGTTCATTTTCAACTAATTTTCCTACTTATAGGTTATGTTTACCAAAATAATTATTTAAGCTTAAGTGTAGTGGTTTTATTTGTTTTAGAAATGATTTAGATCCTTTCATTACAGATTGTGAAGGTAAAATATATTTTACTGCCTACTAATAATAGAAATTACAACAATAAATGTTTAATAAACTCCATTTTTCAGACAGCTTTTTTGTTAACGGTGCGGTTAAGATAACAGAAATCGGAAATACTGGAAAATCCAGTGGGCTCAGCTGTTTTTGTGTGTAGCTGGGATTCTGAGCCTGCATCTTTCGCTGGCTTTTCTAATGCTGCATCACATATATCGATGGGAAAGTATGGCACAGTGCAGCGACACCACAGTTTATACTATCTTCATAATAGACAGCATAAAACTGGAATTCCGTGAATGAATCTAAATCATGAGCTTAAATGCAAACTCATCTCTGCTACACTTGATGTAACCTAAATCTGACCATGGGTACCACAGTACCCTGCGCACCAGTCCAACACAGTGGTTTACTGTGAATTCACCACAAACTAACCTGATTATCCTGCACATAACTGCCCAGTATTTTCATGCAGAATTTGAATAAAACTAGTTTGTATTTATTTATTTGTTTTGCAGGAAGTTTCACAAAATGAAAATACCTAATTTATCAAAACACATCATATACAGATCAAATATGTGATTAAAATGATGACATTGCATGTGATCTTTAAATTTGCAGTTTATCAAGCATCACTGAGCGGTCCTTACCTTTAAATATAACCCCTCTTCTTCGTCTTTTGTCCTGTCTGTCTTCCTACACCATGCTCCATCTCTGAGTGAAGTTAACTCTCATTCTTTTCTCTCCCTGGGAAACAGAGCAGCTGGACTTTAGCTAGAAACACACTGTGTGACAATCTGCACACAAACTCATTGTGTATTTGTTGATGTTTGTTGAGCTGATAGAAATGTTGAATTTGAAATTACCTCACACTAAAAAAAAAAAAATAATAATAATAATAATAATAATAATAAATATTAAAGTACAGATACCTGAAAATTCTACTTAAGTACAGTAACAGAGTATGTGTATGTTGTGACTTCTCTACTAAGAGAAGCCCACCTGGAACATCTAAAATATTTTTAAAGCAAAAATAATTTAGCATGTTGTATGAGTCCAGTCTGGCTAACACTTAATTCCATTCATTGAGTCACAGCACTTATATCGATCCACCAAATCAACTGTGTATCTCCAAGGAATGAGTTAGGAAGGGATTAGCTCCTGGCCCTTGATTAGCATTTTTTGCTTACACAGCATGACACCATCCATCTCATAGCAGCTGCATTTATACCTATTTAACCTCTAAGAGATGTCTCCTAAGACCAACCCCCTTGACCTCATCTAAGGTCAAATTTTTCCAAAGTCCCCAAGTATTTTCTCAGTTCTTCAACCTTCATTAGTTCGAACAAGTCTATTAGGTCCATCCTGCTGCTACAGTCATATGATATCATGAAATGTAACAAAAGGCCTCCTCCTCAGCTTGGAGAGTTCCCATCACTCTCGTGGACTTGGTGTCCACATAAGTCTCTGTCCTGTGCTTTCAATAACTCACGCAGAAGCCTATCAGCAGAGCGGTAGATCAGGTAACACCAGCGAGGGTGCAGTTCTTATTTGTGCAAACCAAGGTCACTGAACCACATGGATGCTGGATCAATCAGACAGATTAATGAAGCACAACTTGCTGACATGACGAATATTGACACCCTTATTACATCTTGGTCCTGCAGTCCACAACACTGCTTATATAAATCTGGCCCAAGTAGAAGGAGATGGGTAAACTCCTGAACCTAATCCTTCACATGCTAAACACACTACAAGAAGAGCTTAAATAAGCAAATGTGTCTCTCCCTGTAATTTACTAAATCCAAAAATGTCACAGAATTAAAGCTCATGGTGTAAACACAGGTTGCAAGCAGTTTGAGCTCCAGTATCCTCAAAAACTGATCAATATTTATAAGATGATAAAACAAAAGTGGATTATCAGGAGCAAGACCTAAACATTTAAATACCTAATGACTTTATTTATTGATTATTCAGTCATACTGAACCTAGTTTTTTGTTTATTCCTCAGTCACACCAGACTTGGGAATAACCAGTCAGCTACACACCCTTGCAACCACCAAATTTCCATAAAAACACTCCTAAACCTTGTGGAAAGCCTTTCCAGATGAACTGAAGCTGTCATGCTTGCAAAGGGTGGATCAACATCATATTAAATCCTATGGATTAAGAATGGGATGTCAAGCTCACATGCGTCTGAAGCCAGACAAACAAATACCTTTGGCAATATAGTGTGAACAAAATCCAGTAAAGCTTGTTTGTAGAAAACACAAAATCACAAAGGTAATTTTTCACTGTTTTCCAGTATTTAATACTTCAAACAGATGACTAAAAAAACACCTGAAATAATAAGCTAAAAATAAACAGTAGTTATAACCCTGCAGCATTTTCAGCACACCAGATTGTGCTTTTGTTTAAACGTGTGCTATCACTCTTGATTCCTAATTTTCCTTTTAATGAAAGAATTACCTAGTTAGTTACTAACTAGTCACTTGGTTTAAGGAAACACTCATTTTCATTTGAAAAGTCCACAGAGTATAACAAGAAGTGCATAACGTTCAAAAACAGAATTAAGCCTCTACAGTAGGTCTAAATCCCATGTCACCTTGCTTTTACCTAAATTAACTGGTTTTCTTAAATGCTTAAAGCACCTCAAACGTCACATCTCTTGCCCAGATTCTGGTTGTATTTCTGACAACGGGGCCAGAACAAATGGCATCCTCCAGTTTTAATCAAAGGGAGGATTAACCTTTTCTATCAGCGGTGCCTCTCTTAGCAAAATAGGGAGTCGAGATTTAGGATTATACCTGTGAAGCCATACTTTAGCTCATTATTGGACTTGGATGTTCAGACCTGTATGACACCCCTTATATCACTGGCATTAGGTTACCATTAATGACTCAGTAATCCTTCAAATCTCTCTAAAGAAATGCACCTCAACATGAACCTCTGGAAATTAATGTATTTGTAGAGCCTTCTCAGGTAATGATCCTCCATATTTTTAGAGATAACCTCACCACTTACGAGCAATACCTGGCCACTTAAGATAAATACCACAACGTTGATTCTGATTTTCCATTTCAATCACACAGCAGACATAAAGCTGTTTTGCTGCATAGTGCCCACACTAGTTTCCTTAATTTCTACTAACAAAGAGCAGCTGTTTGCTTTCCACCCATTTTCTATAAGTTCCCTTATAGATCAGTTGCCAAGTTAAACTGTTATTATCCCAAGGCTTTACAGCACAGAGCAACAGCAAAGGAATATAAGGAAATAATACAAAATTTAAAGAGACTATAAGGACTAGTTGTGGTCAGAATATAGCCTTTTATAGAAATTTGGCTGCATCACAATTACTGATTATGGATAACCATGGCAATAACACATCTGTAATTCTTCTTTCTGTACAGTTTCATTGGTACAGTTATGGCTACACTCTTTTACCACCTGCTTGCAATGAATGTATTCAATGTATTGCAGAGAGAATACTAACTAGGACTGAAAAGAGAGACCATATTTTCCCGTATTAGCTCCTCTTCATTGGGTCTCTGTTAAATCCAGAACTGAACTTAAAATCTTTCACCTCACATTCAAAATCTTGATTAATCAGGCCCTACCATACCTCAAAGACTTCAAAGTACCTTATTATTCTAAGAGAGCACTTCACTTTCAGACTGCAGGCTTACTTTTGGGTCATAGTTTTTAAAGGTAGAACAAGAAACAGAGCAGTCAGCCACCCGGCCCCTCTCATGTGAAACCCAGTTTGAATTCAGGAGACAAACACTTTCCTTTATGATAAATCTTATAGCCAGGGCTGGATCAGTTGACCCTGAACCCTCCCTGAGTTATGCTGCATTAGAGTGCTGGAGTGCCTCCCATAATGTATTGAACATTTCTTTAGTCTTCTTTTTTGTTTCACATTTCACTTTCTATGTGTTTATACACCACTGCTGCATTTAATCATTGCTAATTACTAACCTCTGGCCCTCTCTTTGCCTGTTGTCCCGTCTTTCTCTGCTCTCATCTTTCTCCTCAACCCCAAAACACCCAAAGCAAAATAGCTGCCTCACCCTCTGTCTGGTTCTGCTGAAGGTTTCTTCCTGTTAAAAGGACCCAACTTTAACTGTTCTTCATTATTTTCCCTTCTCACTGTCACCAAGTGTGTGCTCATAGGGTTGCGTCTGATTAGGGTTTCTGTCACATATTTACCCTACAATATAAAGCACCTTGAGGTGACGGTTCAGAACTGGTGCTATAGAAATAACCCGTAATTGAAACGAATAAAGAACCAAGCAATGTTGGCTAATTTTAGGGCCAAACAAGGATCAGACAAATCTTAATGAAACCTTACTCAAGCAACATGCCAATCAAACTTCCCATGCTTTTCTAAAGCCTGCACTGGCTGCTCCAATAAACTGTTCTCTGCACCCAAAATAACTTCCTGAGCACCGCTGCAAATCACAGTAAATGGTTTTGACTATTACAAGACTATTATTTGCCTCTAGCGTTTATTTGGCGTGGAGAGGAACATTTTTACGGCACACGCTTTGCGTTCAGAACTCAGCAGCAGTATGACTGACTCGTATTTCACTGTGAAACAGACTTAGCGGTTGGACTTCCCGTGCCGATGCTCCAAAGACGCTTTAAAACATTACGCTTCCACACAGCTCGAATAAATACCAAGTCAACCCAGTTCATAAGTGGCAAAGTCAGCCAACTTAATGAGTTTACTCTACCAGTTTGAAACAAAAGCGTGGCTTCAGATAATAAAGTGCTCTGTGCGTTTCAAAACACATTATGTGCTTCGCTGTGAACTTCCAAAACAGAAGCTAACACGAACTACTGATGTCGGAAGTTAGCACCGGTGGAGTGAAAGAGAAAATGAGGGAGAAAGTATAAAGTACCTGTCTAAGGCGGTTGTCCTCTTCCATGCTTTCTGTGTTGTCGAAAAGCTTTCTATAAAGCCATGGAAGGCTTGGAAGTTTCTTTCTTTTGGTGTTGTTGAGTTGGTAACCATGAAAGCCTCTGGTTAGCAACGAGACCTGTCAAACAATGGCGGAGCCAAGTACGGCAAGCGGGAGGTCGACACGTGCTTTTCGTTGACGTTTAGTGTTTTGGAAGGTTTCGTTTTGCAGCTGAGCGTCAGGGGAGAGTGTCCCGTCAAAATAAGAGCACACCAAAGACTTGAAACTGTTAAAAGGGACCTGCATTGTTATATAATGTTCTTTTGGCGAGTTAAGCTTTCCTACAAAACTGTTTTTAAAAGTAAAGACGTATTTAGCCTAGTTTGTCCTGCAACTGAAGGACAATTTAGGTTTAAAACAAACAAACAAACAAACAAACAAACAAACAAACAAATAAATCAATAAATACTTTTTTTAATCCTTTAAAAATCAGAATTGAGCTTAATAAGTTCCTGACCATTAAGTTAATGATAATCACTCTCATTCTAAATAGTTATATTAATTTAAACAACTTTGGAAATCTACTTTCAGTAGTCATACGTGTTTTTAATTTTAGTATTTATTATCAGATGTTTACTCAGATACAATATTCATATGAAAATCTTAAAATATACAAGGCTATGACATTTATGTCATAGCCTTGTGCAAATAAAAATTTGCACAAGGCTATGACATAAATGTGTAATATATAATAATATAATAAGATTAATAATATTCCATATGTTCTCAACATGTGTTTGTAATTATTGCTTGCTCCATATACATACATACATACATACATACATACATACATACATACATACATACATACATACATACATACATACATAATAACAAAACCAACCAAAACCTAGATTCATAACGTATTTTAATTTGAAATGCATTTAGTCAAGAATTTGGAACAAGTGAAAAACTGCACTTTTTTTCTTTTTAAAAAATGTATTTATTTGAAATGATATTTTGTAACCACGTTTTCAGCAACTAGGTCTCCATCTTGTTCCATCTTGTCCTGTGATACGTGCATTTTATCTTAGTATTTTGTGCACAGATTACTTTTCAGATTTATTGGAGTCTTTTTTGTTCTTGACTTAATTGTTAAATATGCAAATGAATTATGTAAAAGTACTCATCAAGTGGATTATAATCTTGTTTGTTATTAGATGACAATTCTATTTGTGCTTTAGTTGTGTTTTTTGTATTTGTTCAGTAATAGGGGATAAGAATATGCAAATAGCTGGATTCTTATCAATAGGTTATGCCTATTGCATATTGTGCTGTGATCCAGGAGAATCCCATACAGCTTTTTCTTTGTTATATAGAGCTTCAAGCTATCAAAGTCTATATTTATTATATATTTATTATTCAGGCAGTGTTCCCAGAACCTCCAGAAAAGGATTGATGGACTGAATTTTTGTCTTCGTTTTATGTCTTGGATGGATTTTCTTTTAATTAGGCAAAAATATGTATAATTTTAAGCTCCTAAAGTTGGGTCCACAAATCTTTTTTATCTGTTCCTTTTTATTTTAAAGACAGATCTGTCCATCTGGTGCATTTATCAGAAGTCGTTATCATCTCCTTAAGCTGCTGTTATTCATTTGTGGCTACTTAATAGATCCACTTTAAATTCCAATTCAAATTAATACCCAACCATTATGCAGATGGGTTTGATGAAATTTAAAGTTGAATGAGTTATCCTTGCAGAGGCCAGTTATTCTCTGGAATTCGAACGAATATGTGTAGCCACCTCTGCCACATTTACTTATTCAAAAAATCCTGAAGCATACATAAAAGTCTGTTTTTGCAAAAACAAAAACTGGAAGTGAAGTGGTCATAGTTAGTTATGTGGTACATTAGTTGAGTAATTGCATTTTATTTTTTTCTATTCTACTTTTATAATCAAGCATTTTTAATACAATAAACAAACTTTATTAATTTGAGTTATACCCGTGCTTCACAGTTTCTAAGGGGACTCCTTGTGATGTTTAGGATGCCTTTATGTTTTCATGATTTCTTCCATGTGATTTCACCTTTAAATTTCTATTGTGCAAAGAGGTAACACTGTAAATAAATAAATAACTCATTAGTCCACACACAGAATACAAATGGTGTATAGCAGAACTTTATTGTAATCAGTTATATCATCTTATGACCCTTTAGAGCAGGGGTAGGCAACTCCAACTGGACCCAATACAGGTGTACCTTGTTTTTCACAGGACTGCAAGAGGTCATGAAAACATTTTTTTTTCATATGACAGCAGTATGCCTCTCAAACTGAACACTTTGATGTTAAATAGAGTGTTTCTACATAGATGTATTGGCCCTTTTAAGTAAGTCACATCACTATTTTTTCCACCAAATCAAAACTTTCCTCTCTAAGCTACTGTGAATGACAAGCTGGACTCGAAGCATTCTGGTTTGTCACAGGTTTATTTGCTGTCATCATTCGTCATTTTGTCCTTGTGGTATCTGAGCCTGGGATTTGCAAGGCTTACTTTGTCTTCATCCTAATCTTTAACAACAAAAAAGCTCAAACCTGATTCTTGTCACTTGCGCACCACTTAAAGTGCGCCCTCATTGAAAGATGACAGAGTTATCTGCTAAATGTCTCGATTTTATCTTCAGAAAGCAGAGAAATGGACGAGTCACTTTAAAGTCTCTAATACCACCTTTCTTTTGATTAAGCAAATTATTTCATTTTGTGTGCAATTTCACTTTGCTCTGAGCTGTATTTCATGCCATCTCCTACTCCACAGCTTATTGTTACTGTTCTAGTGGCTAAGCTCTTTCAGAGATGCTGGGGCATGAACAAAGCCAGTGATATCTAGTGAATTCTCATTACAAGGGGATTATTATATGTGCCAGCATGCATTTCACTCCCACATCATTACGTGTTTTGGACAATTTAATGCCAATTACTCCATTGCTAATGCTTTTTTGCACCCACCCTTTCCCCTTAGGCTCGTGGTGAAATTTGACATGTTTTGACAACTTAGTATGAATTCATCTTGCTTGGTTTGTTTGCATGAGATTGCACTACCCGGTAACCACTATTTGCTCTCCATCTGATGTCTGTTGCTCCAGTGGGATGTGGCATGAATACTTATCATAGCTCTCTATGTCACATATGCGCCAGTTAAAGGGGGGAGTACGGCAAAGTGCAAATACTGATCTGAGGGACCTATTAATGTTTAATGATCCATTAATATTCCCAAATGAGGAATACTCCCTGTTAACATGTCACTCCCAGCTGGAGAGGGGGGCTGTTACCTGGTTCCCAGTAGGTTGGTTCAATTAGACACTACAGCACAGCGTCAGCTGCACAACATAAGGCTGCACTTCCACATATAGCTTAGTTTGTTTTCACTGTACTTTGTGCAGTCACTATTGTAAGTTTGTTGTCTTATTCGTAGACATTTGGGGAGTTGTCCCAAGAGTTTCTTCAGATTTTGTTATATATAAAAAAAGTGAAGGATGCCTTACATAAGTTTTTTCTCCTTTTGTTCAGTATTTATTTGACCACATTCATTCATCAGGTCTTGGTGGATTTCAGATTTCGTTAAAAGGTTATAATGCTTTTTGCAGCTTAAGCTACTGAATTTTCACCATTAATCAATATTCTTTTCCTTACACGACAGAAAAAAATGACCCGGTACACAAATTGGCTTTGCTGCTGTTGATTTCAACATGATACACATGGAAATACATTCTCCTTAACACTTTCAGAGGTGAAAGTGGAGGGAAGAAAATAAGTTTATCGTAAATGCTGGAATATTCAGGATCCTGTGAATATTCTAAGCTTCACATCTGCCATGCTACAGCTCTGTAATGGTAAAACATCCCGGCACAAACATGAAAAACGAGATTACCTCCACAATATAAGCTGCTGTTGACCAAAGAAAACATGTCTTTCTCATCAACAGTATATGTGAGAACTTTCAGTATCAGCCCTCCTGCAGGCATCCAATCTCCTTCCAAGCTGCTGTCTGTCGTCCCTCCGCTAGTCTCTTCAGCTTTTCTCATTAGATTTCCTGCTCTTATGCATTCCAAGTATTTTTGAAGTGCATAGTGTGTGGAATGATGCAATGAATTCAAGTGGCAAGCCTGCACAAATCTCATCATGTCCAGGGTAATTCACATATGGAAAGTTTGGTATCCTAGCAACAGTCAATAAAGTCGGGCTTTGATTGGCTATTGCGTATGGCCGTCAAAACTTAAGAGTCAACGGGGCAGTCTTTTTATGAACTGATGAGAATTTGTTTACAAGAAATCAGAGGTTGTTTTGCTCATTCACACCTGCTTGTCGTAAACCAAAGAAATAATGGGTTTCTTGTCTTGAATGAGAGCTGAAGTGCATGAAATCTGCTGTACAGAACTGAAAGTTTTTACAGGAGTGAAGACAAAATGGGTCTAATCAGTTATTTGGGCTGGGTGGTGATTGCTGAATTAAACCATCTGACTGTCTTTCACACTGGAGGGTCACATTCATGGGTAGGTTTCATCATGTGCCACTGCAGCTGATTGAGACTTGATTGCCAGTGTTCAGTGTGAGAATGATTTCATGGCAAATGTGAGCCCTCTGTGGATTTATCACACTCTCCACACCGAGACACTGAAATCTTTCAGCTTGGAATATCGAGGGAACTAAATTCATATTGCACCACATGTCAGCACACATGACAGGATATGATGAGGCTGTAACGTTTGCAGGTAAAAGCCATAAGGAAGATTCTTCCAGCAGCAGTTCTGGCAGAGAGAGAGAGAGAAATTAAACATTATTTTTTGTACAGTCAGTTCAGGCTCTGAAGCGTCTGCTGCTTTCTACCTCAAAGGTACTAAAATACATTCCTTATTTTCCAAATAAAATTAAACTTGTCTTCTCCGTGTGCTCCTACAGCATCATTGCCAGAGAGAAGAGTGTCCCATGAAGTTTAACTCAAAGTCCCAAGGCCAAGCTTACCATGTTTGCTCAAATTAAGCTCTGTTGTTAGAGTCATACAAGAACTCACAAATTTAAAAAGTTTAATTCCAGCCCACTCCTACAGAAGAGCAACTGAGCAACCATGAAAAAGTTTGACTTGCCAATTAAATCTTTTCCAGCTCCTATCCCCGTGGTATCCTCTGGTAAAAAGCAATCGCAAACCGGCTGGGCTGGTAAACATGTGCTTTGTGGATTTCACACTGAACTGAATTTCAGCTTTTTTAGAGTTAGCTCTCACTGTCTGCTCTAGCTGCCACTATGCAATATTGCTCCACTGAGCCAAGATATTTTTTTCAAATTGACTGCATTTCATATAGCA